GACGCCAAGGTGGCTACTACCATGAATCCGACGGATAATGGTCTGAGTCTGGTTGGCACGTAGATTAATCGGCGATCTCACCCCCGTGGCAGCCAGCCACTGGCAGGCACGGTCGATGTTGAGAAGATCAGCTCGGCAATCGTAAATCTTAAGACATGCTGCGACTCCGTATTCGTTCCATCAATGAGGTCTCTTGACAACGGGTGCCTTGGGGGAAAGAAATATGAGCAGTCATCTTCCTTCCAGATCCTACCTTCCTGTCAGAAAAGTATCAAACATTCATCCCCAAGGTCACGACCCCCTCTCCCCGAAACCCAGGATTTTCTCACCCATATTCCAATCCGATCGCATCTCCCCTACCTTACTTTTGTGACAGCTCTTCTCACGGATGACTCGGCCGACCGGTGATTCCGTACGTTCCAAGTACTGGAATCCTGCTCACACCTACTTCCCCGCACTATCTATTCTATACATACCTTAGAGAACCCTTAAACTTTTCTGGACGCGCAAGTCCCAGGTCCCCTCCTAACCACTTACACCACGTGCAGGTCCAACACCCCCTGCCACTAGTAAGCTGGGAGCAAGAGAGCTCAATATCAAAGTCCTCGGACTTCTTGACTTCTTGACTTTTTCTTGGTAAAACCTGGGGTCACCTGAGCATCAAACTGGGGTCTCGTCAGCTTTACATTAGCACACAAGACTTTACGATCATCTTTTTCCTTCATTGATATTACCCTTCTCCTCGGACGAAAGCAAGAAAGCTCGCAAAAGAGGGAGCTTGGGGCAAGCTTCCTGCAGAAAGGCCAAGGGTGAGGTAGGGTCCTCTAACGTTCGACAAGAACATCACCGACATATTCCCGCACCCAATGGAGGGGCTTGGACGGTTGGCGTGTTCGTAGAGGAGGGTAGGGACGGCAGATATAGCCCAACCGCCGCATTAGCCACCAAGTTTACCTAACCTTGCCCTTGGACCCCCCATGTAATCTGGGGAAGGCCTGTTGGTCTGCGGGGGACCAGGGTATAGCGGGTTTAGTGTCGACGAGGTGGTGCTTTGTGAACTGGGATGGGACGTGCCAATGCACGTTAATGCTGATGGCCCAATAGCGTCGTCTGGGCGAAGCTGTCGTAAAACCTGGGGTAATAGGGAACATACAGGATGGGATGGGATGGGGGAGCAATGCATGTCTGATGCTGCAGATATCACCCCACTCTACAACGTCGTTGTGGCGTCCCAACTGCAGCGGTTATGAAGGCATCCCGCACGTCCCGCACATGAAGGTGTAGAGTGAGTTTCGGTAGTTTCGCTCTCGCGAGCCCGAAGCTGGCACCTCAACTGCCTGCGTCTTGTCTTCCTTTGCTGCGGCTGCAGGCTGAGAGGAAGGATCGCTACCCCGCGTTTGTAGGCCGAGATGCCTAGAATTTCTAGACTTAGACGTTGAACGGGTATGGCGTGTCTCACCCGGATCAGGTTGCCGCTGCTTGGCGGGCATTTGCGTTGCTACCCCGATTCTGTATGCAGCATATTTCTCCGCCATATGCTAGAGGGGGGTCTTCAAACAAAACCAACGACATGCTATGAGCTTTGGGTAGTCTGTACCTATCCCCTTTAAGTGATCTTGATATCAAGTTCGAGATGATCAGCTTGAGGGGAGCCTGGAGACAGCTGGGCGACGCCTGACGGGGCTCATTTCTTGCCCAGCACGTTGACTCTCGTATCCGCGAGATGGAAACCCTCTCCCGGTGCATACGTCCGGTACTTGCTTTCATTCCAGCGCCTCTTCACATGGTCGAGAGTTGGAGAGGAGTCCAAGAGACAATCTCACCCAATACAGCCGAGATCTCCGCTGCGCGCTCATGTCTGCCATCTCCTCTCTTCTTTCATCCCGTTCCAACGTGCATACTGTGGCACAGCATCTTCATCGAGCCCCATCGAGACTCCATCAAGACCCCCCATTTTCATGCTCCCGGAAACCATCAACGTCGCATACAATCAAGCCAGATGACTTCCAGACCAATGTTTCATTGGTGCCCTCGCCGTTCCAACATGTCTGAGAGGTTAAAGGAGGGGTTCACAGCTTGGCGACCACGGAATCAACGGTCGACGTTGTCGACGCCATTCGCCGGGAGATATCTCGGGGTCCAGATCAATGCTCGAAGGATGTAGCGGATGCGTGGTGGTGAGGGGAAGGGGGCTCGGCGCAAGCAAGAGGGTAAGCAGAGAGAGGGAGCATCGCCAGCTCTGCCATTCTTCCATTGAGATGGTGCAGCTCACTCGAGCTCACTCGGGACCGAGCTCAGTCGTGATGCGAGCATATAAGACCCGCGGCGGGACCAGCAGAGACCCCGCGTCTCGTGTTCCTCGGGCTCTTTCAGGCTCCCTGACCACAGCATCTCTCATCCTCTTCATATCTCTGGAGTCAAGTAAACAACAGCAACCATGGTGCTCCCCGATGAGTTCGACATCATCGTGTGCGGCGGCGGGAGCTGCGGTTGCGTCGTCGCTGGGCGGTAAGACAGCAAGGACATCCTCGACGTCGACCAACACTAACACTCGTTAGGCTGGCCAACCTGGACCACAACCTGAAGGTGCTCCTCATCGAAGCCGGCGAGAGCAACCTCAACAACCCCTGGGTCTTCCGCCCCGGCATCTACCCCCGCAACATGAAGCTTGACTCCAAGACGGCCTCGTTCTACGAGTCGCGCCCGTCCAAGTGGCTCGCCGGCAGGAAGGCGGTCGTGCCCTGCGCCCACATCCTCGGCGGCGGCTCCTCCATCAACTTCATGATGTACACACGCGCCTCGGCTTCCGATTATGACGACTTCCAGGCCAAGGGTTGGACGACCAAGGAGCTCCTCCCTCTGATGAAGAAGCATGAGACGTACCAGCGCCCATGCCATAACAAGGATGTCCACGGCTTTGAGGGTCCCATCAAGGTGTCCTTTGGCAACTACACCTATCCCATCAAGGATGACTTCCTTCGCGCCACAGAGTCCCAGGGTATACCCACCGTCGACGACCTCGAGGACCTCGAGACCGCCCATGGCGCCGAGCACTGGCTCAAGTGGATCAACCGCGATACCGGTCGCCGCAGCGACTCTGCCCATGCCTACATCCACTCCACCCGCGCCGTCCACTCCAACCTGTACCTGGCCTGCAACACCAAGGTGGACAAGATCATCATCGAGAATGGTGTCGCCGTGGGCGTGCAGACGGTGCCGACCAAGCCGCTGCACCCTAACCAGCTGCACACGAGGATCTTCAGGGCTCGTAAGCAAATCGTCGTGTCCGGCGGTACCCTATCGTCGCCCCTGATCCTGCAGCGCTCCGGCATTGGCGACCCCGAGAAGCTCAAGGCTGCCGGCGTCGAGCCGATTGTCGACCTCCCCGGCGTCGGTCTCAACTTCCAGGACCACTACCTGACCTTCTCCGTGTACCGTGCCAAGCCGGAGACGGAGTCCTTCGACGACTTTGTCAGGGGGGACCCGGAGGTCCAGAAGAGTAAGCAACCACTTCCGCCATGACACCAAGCCCTCATGTCTAACATCCATCTTCCACAGAGGTCTTTGACGAATGGGCCCTCAAGGGCACCGGCCCCCTCGCCACAAACGGCATCGAAGCCGGCGTCAAGATCCGCCCCACGGAGGAAGAGCTCAAGGCCTTCAAGGAGTGGCCGACCCCGCACTTCAACGACGGCTGGGAGTCGTACTTCAAGAACAAGCCCGACAAGCCCGTGATGCACTACAGCGTCATCGCCGGCTTCTTCGGCGACCACATGCTCCTGCCGCCCGGCAAGTTCTTCTCCATGTTCCACTTCCTCGAGTACCCCTTCTCGCGCGGCAGCACGCACATTAAGAGCGCCAACCCGTACGAGACGCCCGACTTCGACACCGGGTTCATGAACGACGAGCGCGACATGGCGCCCATGGTGTGGGGTTACATCAAGTCGCGCGAGACGGCGCGGCGCATGGACGCCTACGCCGGCGAGGTCGAGAACATGCACCCCTTCTTCAAGTACGACTCGCCCGCGCGCTCCAACGACATGGACCTCGCCACGACCAAGGCGTACGCCCTGCCGGGTAACCTGACGGCGGGCATCTCGCACGGCTCGTGGTCGAGCCCGCTCCCCGCCGCGGAGAAGCTGCCCGAGGCCAACATCCTGAGCTCCAACAGGCGCGACGTGCGGCACGACCTCAAGTACAGCAAGGAGGACATCGAGGCCGTCGAGGAGTGGGTCAAGCGCCACGTCGAGAGCACCTGGCACAGCCTGGGCACGTGCTCCATGGCGCCCAGGGAGGGCAACAGCATCGTCAAGCACGGCGTGCTGGACGAGAGACTCAATGTCCACGGCGTCAAGGGCCTGAAGGTTGCTGATTTGAGTATCTGCCCCGACAATGTCGGCTGCAACACGTGAGTTTCATCAGACCTCTCTTTCTTTCTGGGGTGATTACTGCTAACAAGGTGCAACAGATACTCGACTGCGCTGCTGATCGGCGAGAAGGCGGCCATGCTGGTTGCTGAGGATCTGGGATACTCCGGCGAAGCGCTGGAGATGAAGGTGCCCGATTACCACGCGCCTGGCGAGACCCGTCTTCCGTTCCGCGTCTAGGTATTTCGAACCATTGGTCGTGAATAAGTAAGGTATGAACTGGCAAATATGGTATGTAGTATGATCTTATGAAACAGATTTGATGATATGATTTTTTTTTATAAAAATTGAGAAATGGATCGAACGGTAAACGGTGACAACACAGGAAGGAATTGTGACTGAGTCGCTCCCAGCTGTCATTTTAGTGCCGACTTTAATCGTCCCCTGCAGCCCCCCCTTCCATAAAGAGCGGGGCCACGGTTGCTTGAGACGTCGCCAATCACGCCCAAACAGTTTCCTCGCAAATTGACATGCATTCTCACTCAGACGAGGGGAACAGCGTACAGAGAGAGAGCTAGTGGAATTGTGCAAAAAAGGAAGCAAGCGGTCGTAAAAAGTGCAAAAAGGAAACCGCGCCCGAAGAGGGGCTCGAACCCTCGACATTGGGATGTCGGATCTTGCTGAGAACAACAAGTCGTTAAAAGTCCCACGCTCTGACCAACTGAGCTACCCGGGCTGTGCTTAACTCCGCTGCTAAAAGGGGTTATCATTAGCGGACTCCCCGTTGTGTGTCGTCTTGGCTCATGTTGGCGCCTCGGGGATCAGTAACGTTAGGCAAAGGCTAAGTGAATGTTCGGGGTTGGAGAGAGACGGGAGTGTTAGCAGTACTCTCCTCAGGACGTTTTGCTTGAGGGAAGTTGGCAGGCAGTTGCACCTTTACTTCCTTCCAGATTCGCACTGCTGCTGTAATCTCATGTGACTGTCCCACAAAACCGTCGGCAGACCACCGCTTGCTGATTCGCTATCTCCAGTCAAGGTGGAACGTCAAGAGCAAAGACCCCCCAAATTCCAACCTGTTTCGCACAACATCATTGCGCCGGACACAACTCGCCAGTCGTCGAGAATCCTTTACTTCTCGCCAAACGACGCCAAAGATGATGCCTACATGAGACACCCCCGTTACACACGGCCATTCTTGCCAAGTAGTTGGAACGACAGGCAACCACGATGCTGGAGGACTCCAAAGGCTACCCAACAGACATATTTGAGGCTGAAAACATGGTCGCCCGTCTTACTCGCGGGCTTGCCACGAGTCCTGTTCCGGAAGAGAACACTTCCAGAAACAGTCGACTTGGAGACATACAGGTGTCCGGGACTGCTCGAGGGACTGGGTTGATTCGGCGGACACTGAAGTCTACCTGTCCGGGTCGCGGAGGTTAACGGGTGTTGAACTGTGCGGTATGCATGAGGAGGAGGAACGCCGGGTGGTTGACCTCGTTGGACATCCTAACGTACGCACCTGGGAGAAGAGCACGTGTCAACTGGCCAGAATGTTTCGCACCATGAGGGTAAAGCACCAAGCTGGAGACGTGGGGAGAAATGCATGGACGGAGAGCAGGGTTGATGCGCCTTGAGTGCACTGCGCCGTCATTTCGTTCGGTCAACCGCTACAAGATGATGGAGTACATTCTGTTGCTTGCCATTACCCATTACAGTCATTTTGTCCTATCATACAAGACCGTCACGATCATCATCATCCTCAGTTCCGGACTTAATCCAGCCCGCACTTAGCCCTGCACTCGGCAGAGCCGAGGGCCGCTCCCGTCCCGACGGCCGGAACGCTGGCGCCGAAGCTGGTTGCGTTGTCCGTTCCGAATGCAGCGGCGACCATAAAGTCCGGCAGGTTGAACAAAGCGTTCAAGAGGTTGGTGGTACCGGTGTCGTCCGAGTTCAGGGCTGAGATGAGCGTGGAGTTGCCGCATCCTAACGACTGTCAGTTGCACAACTCCATAGTGGAGAGTTTCAAGAAGATGCAGACATACCTGTGTTCTGCATGGAATGCACGCTGCCGTGAGGGAAGATGGTCATCTTCCCCGGCGTGAGCGTGGTGGTGACCACCTCCGCACCGTTCTCCTGCACCATCCACGTCTGCGTCTCGCCCTCGACCGCGACGACGAAGTTGGTGGCGCGCGGGTGCAGATGAGGAGGGAGCATGGCGCAGGGGCCGAGGGCGAGCCAGGCGATGGTCAGACCGTGGCCGGTGGCGGCGGGGAAGGTAGCGGCGTTGGCGTTGACGACGCCGCCGGACGCGTAGGTGAAGTAGGGGTGCGACTTGAAGTCGTAGACGAGGTCGTCCTTGATGAGGTCTAGCTTCGCGAGCTCGTTGGCTGAGGTCTTGAGCTTGGCGTTGAGGTCGGCGTCTTTGGGCTTGTCGACGGCTGAGACTGTTGCTGCCAGGAGGCAGAGGGGAAGGAATTTCGAGAGCATCTTGGCTGGACTTGTCGACGGACGGGTAGGGCCGGGGATGAGGGATCTGAGGCTCTGAGGACTTAAGGGTATGAGGAGCTGAGGTCTGAGGAGCTGCGGTCTGGGGTATTTGACAGCCTGAAGATGGTCCTTTCCGTCCTTATATACTCCGGGTTTCCAAGATGGACCTGGGATATCCGCCTCCGGGCTGAATCACCGGCATTCCGTCGGCCTGGTTCAGTGGAAGTTGGTGCATGCACACACTACTACTGGCGCCCCGATGGCTATTCGTCTGCCTGCGCTGCATTTTGGAAGCCTCATTAAGCGCAGCCTATCCCAGATCCCCGATGCGCGGCAGTTCCATTCCTTCGCGGAACTAGAGATCCTAACTGCGGCACGCGGCGATTAGATCGATCCTTCGATCCGTTGGTGAGATTTTGGCTCAGCTTTCCATGCACTTCATGGTGGTGGTGGTGGTGCTTAGTCCAACACTGCGGATTCGAGGACCGTAGGGCGACGACAACCCAGGACAGCTGCGCCACCTGTGGAAGGCAAGCTGCATGGAGGAGAAGGTTGATGCACTTCTCATTCGCCTCGGAAATTCGCATACCAAACCGGGACCATGTCTTCAACAACTCAGCCGGCCGAGCTAGCTGGCTAGCTCGCCGGCGCTATTCTGGCCAATGTTACACGCGTGACGCGCTGAAGCCTTGATCGAGCGTGGTGCTGAGGGATAATTTCCCGGAATAGCGTCTAATCGGCCAATGACCACGAGCGGAGTGGTTGAGCCACCTCGACTAGAGGGAATGCGCTTGTCTCGGCTGCTCCTTGATTGTTGGGCAAACAAGGCCATGGAAGGGGGCTAGAAGCCTTTCCTTCAGCATTGTCTCGAAGGATGGATGCTATTGTCCTGCTCTTGCGTCCCTGTTACGTTCCTAATGCTGGACAAGCATCCCCACGGAAATAAGCTGGAAGACAGCATTGTCTCAAAGAATATCTGGTCTTGCATATCGCCGCATAGCTGCCGCGAGGAGTGTCTAGGAATAATCAGGAGTAAGCAGCCACCAAAGCGCGAGCTGATGTTTGCTGATATTTGGGCAGTGCTTGACTATGAGTTGGGTACCATTATTGACTTGGCTACTGGTGTTACACAGAATGTCTAACGTAGAAAGGCCGAGCCAGTGAGCCGAGCAGATGGTTGAAAACATTCCAGTCTACCAAAGGCAGAGTTACTAACAACAATCGAGAGACACACAGCGCCCTGCCGCCTGCTCCAAAATCATGCAGTCCGAGAAACCGAGTCGCCACACACGCCGTCTGCGAAATCCAGGCCACCCTCTCTAACGACATCGTATTGCCACAGCCATCCCGGGTTGTGAATGGCCACCGCATAGCCCTTTATCCCATCCAAAGAGCAGCGCTGAGTCGGTAATAGGTCGTGCCTACGAGCCAGCGCTACGTCCGAAAGCCCATCGCCAAATGCAGACTGGAATGATTGCTGGTTACGGCCGAAGAAGGAAACACCAGTGATAGATGTCGGGGTCAGTGTCTCTCAGCTTCGGCACCGGTATCCTGGCCATCACATCCGCAGCAAGCGGTAACCCCTCCACATCAAATCGGGAAGAGGAGTAACTCATCGATATCCAGAAGCCACCGGCGGCCAAGTGCTTCTTGACGCCTTGCGCCATGCGCAGCACGCTATCCCCGTCGCCGCAAGAGATGGCATCGGCGGTCCCCTTGTCGATGATGAGGTCGTACCTCTCGCCGAGCTGGAGATGCGTCGCGTCCGCGAGTTCGTATGTCGTCCTCACATCGCCAAAAGAGGCCTGTTCGAGCTCCCGACCGCGCTTCAGGGCTAGGGGTTCGTAGTCAACGTTAGTGACGTTCAAGAAGCCTCTCGCCCGCAGATGGTTGTGCAGGTCGCTCGTGCCGCAACCAAGATGGAGCAGGCGGGCAGAACGGTCGAGTCTGTCGAGGAAGGGCTCAATGATCTCAAGGAAGGTCGACGAGTCCGTGAGCCACTCAAATGCGGTCTCGGTGGAGAACCGGTCATGCCAGTAGTTCTGGCTTTCGAAGTTGGGAGGCATCGCGAGAAAAGGTAGTATGCCAAGCATAACAAGTGTTGCAGAAGTTGAGGAAGAGAAAATTGTGACTGCTATCTTGGCCGTGGTTACGATGAGGTAACGGCGTTGCCAAGCACATTCCGCCCGGCCCGGTCAGTATGTGCGGGACTTAGGTTTTTCGCCAATAACCTGGGCATAGCGTATCTATCGCTGTCTTCACCTCGTTTTCTGGCTGTAGTATTCGCACGCTTGTTGGGTGCTGCTTGCTCACCTTTTCCGCAATTGCTGACGACTGTAGTGGCCGGCCCGCCCCCTATCGTCAGCATCTCTCGCCAATTCAGATGTTACGCATGGTATAGGGAGACGGCGATTTCCAATGACCGATCAGAACCTAACTCTTCATGTGTTGAAGATTTGTCCAAAGGGGGAGTGTGAAGCACAGTGGAGGAGGACACGTACGCTTGATTGTCTGGCTGTCTTGTACGGGGGCAGTCCCTCGGACGTGTGTCATATGGCAGGACACCCCCACACTCGAGTTTCCTCGCCATGATGTTTCGCTTTGTTCGTCGCTGAGTAACTCCCGGCAGTCTCAGCGCGATGTTTGGTAGCCTCTGAGTAAACTCGAGCAAGCCCAAGATGCCCCACCACGTCTACTCGGCGCCTTGAGGGCATCGAACCATAACGGGGTGCTCAGCCCTCGTATCCTTAAGGCACCATGCAGAGACAGTCCGCTCAGCACGACAACATTAGCACTGTCGTCTGGTGTTCGTATGGCTCTAACACGAGGGGACCCCAAACGGCGGAAGAACACCCCGCCACATCTTGCTTCATTCACCTTCAGTGACAGCACCTGAAACCGGAGCCGGAGCTGCAGCGCTGAAGCCTACGACTGCGACGAGGGTGACGAGAACTCCAGTGAACTTCATTTTGAAAGTTGATATTGAATATTGGTGGTAGTTATGTTGCTTTGTAGTGGATTACCGGTCGGTTGTTGTGGTCCTTTGGGAGAAGAAGATTCAGTTGCGGACCGACGCATTTATAGCCATTTTCTTCCAGTGAAATTGCTATCAACATCTCGTCTGTTAGAGCTATACCTTCCCCAATGGGATGTAGATGCCCAGTGATCGCCTGCCCTTATCTTTTGGGATTTCAGCATCAAGTGTCCCTCCAATCTAACAGCTTCCACCCACACAGCTCTATATCTTGA